GTAGGAGCCATGAGCCAAAGGAGACTAATTCAACAAGGAAGAGGCAGAGGGAGAGAGGCAACAACTTCATCTGTGGAGCCTCAAGTCTTCTTGCACTGTTCTAAGGTTCTAAGGCTAATGGGGATGTTCCTAGGCACCAGGCCTATTTCTGGGGTACAGGACACAGTCTACAGTTGTCCAGACCCAGGGACCTACAGAGATGCCTCTCAAGACCTTAGGCTCATCTCCAATGCACTGGGCCAGGGTGGGCAGGGATGGGGATGCCCTCTCTCTTTTGAGGGAAGCCTAGAGGGGAAGAAAGATGGGAGGCCTTGCAACATTTGCTTATTCTCCAGAACAGATACCAGAATGCTGCCAGGGGCAGCAAGGTCTAGGGGGTTTGGGAGCCTTCTCTGGTGTTCCTCCCTCCCTCAGGTGTGGCATTGATTAAGTTTCCACCTTTCTCTGGGCCTCAGTTGCCCTGGTCTGCAAAAGTGGACGCAGGGGAAGCAGGAACTCTCCCTGTACCCCTGGATTTGCAAAGGTGGTAACAGAGGACATGCATGCAGTCCCTTCCACCCCCCACCTAGTCCCCTGCCTCAGCTCCTCACTCTAGCCAGGAGAGGCTAGAGTGGGTATTAATAGCAGCCTAATCGCTCTCACATTCTTTGAGTGCTAAATGAAAGCAACAATCCCAAGCGGGAAGACTAAAACCCTCCTTTCTGAGAAAGAAGATTGAGTCACTCCACAGAGGTCAATGGAGGGGCTTAACCCTTTGATTCCCTGGCTGCTCCCCTAACTCCCAGACATTTACATTGGTAGATTGGTTGATTGGTAGATCCACACTGCATGCAGGCTGGGTTCCTGGGATCCAATGGCTCCTGTGGGGCTTGGATCTTCTCTGAACAGGTTACAAGGTCTAGGAGAGGCCTCTGCCAGCCAAGAAGACCACCCACAAGCAGCAGGCTTGGCCCAGCAGGGAGTTGGTGAGCCAGGTAGACATACAAGGATGTGTGGTACTGCCATTCATGGGCAATGTCTCCAGCCTCTTGTTTCCTGATCTGTAAAATGGGTCTAATCATGCTACCAATACCAGAACTTGTGTCACTACCACCGAGGTAATGGCCAGAGTCTCTGTAAAGACCATTCATTTCTTCACACTGACTCCTGTTGACAGTCCCTCTGCCTGGTATGCTGGGGTACAGCAAACCCTCAACTGGGGCTGTACCCCATGCTGCTACAACCTTCCCCACTGACAGCTATGAACAGGTGGGGATGTGTGCCCCTGGGGTGGCATGTTTGTGCACTCTGTCAGGACAGTCCTCTTCTGCCTTCCCTCCCAGACTCTGAAGCCTAAGGGGTCCTACAGCAGCTCTCTTGTGGGACTTCCTGGGGTGCGTGGTTAAATGAACAAACCAATAGATGTGTGAATGAAAGAGTCAGAAAGTAAGGGAGTGAACTGAATGGAAGGACTGGTAGTGAATGGAAAGATGAATGAATGCACTTACCACACCACAAAGTATGTGTGTGGGTGTCTCTCAACCTTAGACTGTGGGTCCACTCTCTTGGCCTCAGAAGACCTTTGGCCCAACAATCAAAGTGTTGCCTTTGCTTCCTCTTCCTGCCCCTGGAAGTTCACACTCTAGTCCTCCCTGGGGGACAGAGGGCCTATGTAATGCTCTTTAGCTACACTCTAGGCGAACTCCTGATGGAGGAGGCAGAGGAAAAGAGGGGGAAGATGATGGGATTTGCTCTCAAACTAGTCTAGGATCTAATCCTTGACCAGACTTAGCTGTGTGGTTTTCTGTACATTGCTGAGTCTTTAAGAGCCTTAGTTCTTTTTTAAGTGCGAGCAATCTCATAAGGGTTGAATAAGACAGCTCTTGAGGGTACCTAGCATAGTGTTTGACACTTACTAGGCAGCCTGATGTTTTCTTTTTAAATTTCTGTTATAAAGGTGATGTACAGAGGGGTTGTAGTTACATAAATCGAGTACATTTCTTTGTGGATAAGGTCACTCCTTCCCTTGCTCTCTCCCAGTTATGAAGTTCATTTTCAACACAATGTCCAGTGAGTACCATTGCCGTTGATGCTTTCTTTTCCTTTCTTTCACAAGTAGGAGGAAGTTAAAACATTCAAGGATGGTTAGGGACTTGTAATCTCTTCAATTACATAAATGACTGGATAGTTATGCCACCAGAGGCTCTTGGGTAATTTGTACCATATACAAAGGTAACTGGCTCAATCATGTTGTTTCCTTCTCTATACTTCAGTTTCCCTTCTTGGAAAGTGGGCCAGCTCTGGCTGGAGGCAGAATGAACAGAGATGTAAACCCTGATTGGCTCATGGGGCCTGATTTGTCTAAGGTGGGCTAATGAAGGAATGTTGGGGATACCAAACATTACTCAATGGTTTCTCCTTTTATGGGCCTGTGCTCTAGATCACTGCTTCCTGGAGGTTGTATTCCAACCGATGGTGTGATGGATGTGAGGTCCGCATGCCCGCAAGCTCCAGCAGAACCCAGATGTCACCCTGGGGGCGGGACTGAGCTTCTACCTTGCTATTTTAAGCAGGGAGTTTATAATAATGGATGGGAGAAAAAGCAAACAGAGCAGGAACAGCGTGGGAATGGCCCAGCAGGCAGGGTTGCTAGGACTCCTTCTCCCTCAGGAGTGTGGGTTCCATCTTGTCACGGGTAGGACCTCAGCCAGCATCCATTCTGTTTCCATCCTACTGCAGCTGACATGGATCCTTGTGTTTGACTGACCTAGTTCATTACTGTTTTTGTTTCTGACTAGGGAATAAATAAAGTCTTTCTGGAGAGAGGGAGGTGGGGAAGGGAAGTGGAGGGTTAGAAAATCAGATATTTCTGATGGGCTTTTGGAATACTATTGTCCCAGAAACCTACGGTGGGAGCATCAGGTCATGGCTGGTTGTGTGTAGGAAGAGCTCAAGATTTCAGGAATTCCCAGGGTTGGCAAAAGTCCCTGAAGTGGTTAGAACCGTCTGACCCTGGACCCAGCTTTCCAGGAACTCTCCCAGGAACAGGGAGCACAGTACCCTAAAGATTGCCTTGTTTCATTTTCAGTTGGTTCCACCTTCTAGAAGGGTTCCTTTATCTTCCTCAGTCTGTCCTCTTAGTCATTGGCTAGACACCTGTCCTTTGGAGACAACAGAAACCTGAAAGTTGTTCAAGTATCTGAAAAGGAGTTGCAGTTCCCTCTGCAGCTACTTTTGTCCAAGTTAAAGGCCTCTAGCTCTTTCAACATAAATTCTTGCCTCCAACCATACTGCTTCCACTTCTCTAAACATGCTTCAGTTTGTCTGAGCCCTTCTTAGCCCATAAAATCCCTTACATAAAGAAAAAGTAAAATGGCTACCTCTTATGTTTTGTGTATCATATTCCCATTAAGACAACTTGGAGTTAGACCCACATCCCACTTACTTGAAGGAGGTTTCCTAAGACCTGTAGCCAAACCAGGTAGAGTTGAGGGTTTGTAAATACGCTTTTGCTGCCATGGCTTCTGTTACTGTATACTTTATCTAGCCCCACTGACCTTGTCACAGCTGAAGTCAAAGTAAAGATGATAGAAATGAATCCCAGAGCCTACCTTGCTGTGGACTTAGTTTACTCAGACAGTAGCTGCCTGGGATGAGGACATAGCAGCCCCACCCCCAAGATGAAGGTTGAATATATGCCCAACATGGCTTCTTTTCTTCCCATCTCATCTTCTACTTAGTCTCCAGTTATTCTGTTTGAATAAATTCAGTTCACTGTTCAGTGTTAGGGTCCATATCAAATGCTATTTGTCCTGATGCCTCTGTTTCTGTAGTTAGAGGCCTTTTTCTGAGGTCTGATAATATCTCACTTTCAAATTATTTATCCAGAAATGCTACTTTCCAATAATCTCCCACCACCGGTCTCCTTGAGAGCTAAGATCACATCCTCAAACGTGTGTAGTAACAACTAGTAGTGTGTGCTTGTGGTGAAAGACTGGTTCAGTTCATGGGTGGTTCATTTGGGATAAGATTTCTCAAAGGTACCTGCAGGGGTCGCCCTATTTCAGAGTTGAGTGGTGTCTATTCCAGGCAAATGACAAATGCCAAGACTCAAGGTCTCTAGTTCTTGAAACACAAATCAACTACCATTTTCTACTGAATCTTTTGAATATCCACAATGAACTGGACATCCCACCTGCTTCAAGGATCCAGGTCCAGAAAGGTATGTATTGTCAGAGGAGCTCTCAGTTGTGGCTGATGCCAGATCTGGGCTTGTCCTGTAGCACTCTGTCATTTGGGTCTTTCCAATCCTTTCTGTGGATAGGAAAAACACTTAAAGGCACAGGAAGTGTTGGAGCTTTCTTCTAGCAGTCAGCAGCACCTGGATTAGGCCCTAGGACACAGTAAGTACTCAATAAATGACAGTGTTCTTTATTGTCTCTCTGGGGAAGAAGTCAGGACACTTAGCCAAGAAAGGCTGTGTAGTGCAGTGCAAATAGCCCTAGCCTCACATTGGGAAGATCTGGATGCAATTGCCTGGTTCTCTAAGTAGCTTCCACTCATCCTTCCTTCCTTTTGGAAGCAGCTCCCTCATCTGTAGGGCAGGATTCCTAACATCTACATTATAGATCATCATATGGATTCAATTAGATGAGTTAGCAATGCTTCAAGTGGCTGACACTCAATAGAAGCTCAATAAATGATACAGAAATATCAATCTAATCCCAATGGAATATTGTCTATGAGTTATGGCTTTGAGGAGCCGGAGGCACTTTTTCTCCCTTCTAGAATAGCTGTGTTTACTGTAAGGACCAAATTAGATGCAAAAGGTCACCTCTGATTTTGTAAACAAAGCCAAAGAGGAAATGTGATTCTGAATGGCCGCTCCTAGCCTAGCTTGACCTCCAGCAGTGATGCAAACTCAAGCAAGCTCTCTCTGTGGCTCTTGGCTCCTGGAAATGGAACCCAGCTTGGGACAGCGATGGGAAGGAATTTGACTTGTCCTTTTGACGTCTCCCCAGCCTGCGGAGCCCAGGCCTCTTGGAGCATCTTTGGGGCTGACGCAGCAGAGGTTCCGGGCCACTCCAGCCAGGAGGCTGCAATGCCCCACATTCCTGAGGATGAGGAGCCCCCCGGAGAGCCACAGGCAGCCCAGAACCCCACTAGCCAAGTAAGTGCCTCTTCTTATCCATGGCTAGCTTGGCTGGGGGCCAAAACATTGCCCTGGTCTGAGGCCACATCTCTCCAGCTGGCCAGAGTTGTGACAGTCAGTGCGGCTGCAGTAGGTGCTTGGAGAAGTGGGTTGCTTGAACATTGAGGAATTATTACTCTGAGCTTGCAGTGGGCTGAGATCTTGCACCTCTAGGCTATGTCTACTGAGGTTTCACGGGAAGTTTAAACACCCTGGCCCAGTAGGGTCCCTTCTGCACTGGAAAAAGGCATGGAAGAAAGAGCACAGTCATGTCAGGGTAGTGGACACAGCCAAAAGTCCCCTCCGAGTGAATCCACTTAAAATGAAGATCAGAGTTACAGCGTATATAGTGAAAAATTTCAGTGAAAACAGAGACTTGTTGAAAGGCTATCACTGAGATTTTATTATGCAAGTGAAATATGAAAACAGGCTATTTTTAGCTATTTATATATTAGAAAGTACAAGGTTATTTTTTAAGTTGAACAAAGAATTAATCAAGTGTTGATGTTGATGATTTTTTATTTTTTAATTTTATTTATTTTTAATTTCATTTATTTTTTTTATTGTGAGAATGCCATACAGAGGAGTTACAATTACATGGGCAAGATAATGAGTACATTTCTTATCAAGCATTGTTGCCTCCTCGTTGTTTCCCCTTCCCATCCCTTCCCATGCTCCTCCCCTCCCCCCACCCAGTCCTCTCCCCACCCCCTACCAAAGTTGATTTTTAAAAATACCAACATGATAGCAATTCTTCACATTTTACTTTATAGCACCTTCATTAAGAGACCATATAGTATGTAAGAGTTCCATTCATTTCCCCAAGGATCTCTTTAAATCTTTTAATACTCAAATCATTCCCTTTTTGAGTTTATTTTGTAGATTTTATTTATGTAAGCAGTTGTTCAAAGGAGTTTCAATTCATTATGTCACTTCATGAGTACAATGTATCTTGATTAATGTCATCTTTTTCATCATTCTCTTCCATCTCTCCCAACCTTACCCATCCCTTCATTTTTTCTAGTTCCATTTTCACATATTGACTATTGTGTTTGCATTCAAATCATTCCCTTCTGAGAAATCTATCTTACCATCATCCCTATTGGATTTTCTCTTCATTGGAATCCATTCAGCTCCATTGTATCCAGAACTTGCACATGGAGCTTTCCAATGCAGCTTGCTTTGACTTCATGAACTTTGTCGTTGATTTGCGCTGAACTTGTATCATCCTCTTCTATCTGTCATCCACACTGACTGGAGCCACATGGGATAGAGACAGATATTTGCTCAGTGAAGGAAGAATGTATGTGTGAGCATTGTTTTTCCAAATGGGCAGATTCTTAGTGAACATTTTCATGTCATGATGATATTTGTTTTCTTACACATTATGACTGTGGGAATTTAAATAGCAACTACTTAGAAAAGATCAGACCCTTGAAACTGTGTCCCAAGTTCATGAGATGCTGCAGAACTTTGTCCTACATGAGAGTAGCACAAGACACCACTCTCTGAAAACTGAAGCTCAAGCTTCGGTGATTTTGTTTGTTTGTTTTTAATATTCTACACCCACCCTGGGGCATCTTGGTTCATAATGGGTGCTTGCTGCTTGGCAGAAACCATCAAGGTTGCCAAGATCTGGAAACTTGGAGATTAATGAAGGAGTGACAATGTAGAGCAAAATACTCACAGTTAGATTCAAGTATGACTGCTCTCAAAAGCTTAGGCCATGACTTTCCTGGACTTTGTCTCACTCCCCAGCCCTGATTTTCTCCCAAAGCTACCATCCCTGGCTTCTTCCATTTCATGAACAATAGTAGTATTCTGGAATTAGATTAGATGCAAACTCTAGCTCTAAAATTCTGTGTAACTCCCCAAAACATCTACTCTAAGAATAAACCATTCCTAACATAGTACTAAGAAAAGACCAGTGAAGATGCAGCTCCATCACTTGCAAACACAGGTTTTTAACACTGAGTTCTGCTCTTAAAGAGTTAATTAAAAAGTTATTTTATGCTGGGAGGTGGACAATTCAACTGCCTCCTCTACCCTGCCTAACAATTGTGGGGGTCCTGAATTCAAACCCAGTTCCACAAAAAAGGTTCTTTCAAACTGTATCCTCTGGAGAATAAAACAAGACAACACGTAAACTCACTGACCCTTCCAATGCTCAATGCTCCAACGCCCCATCACACATAGGAACAACCTTAGGACAGAGTGAAGGTGAGATTCTGAGGGTGACAAGCATGAGCTGACTGGAAAGTGGAGGAAAGAGACCCCTGATTGGTCAGCACAAGCTCCCCGTAACAGCTTGACACAAGCTCAGTGTTCCCTGTGATCTTGAACCAGAACTCTCTGAAGGCCGTTTTAAGGCTACGATCTATCTCTGTGCTTATGGCTCATGACAAAAGTCTGCAGAGTCCAATGGCTTCTGCATTGCTAGAGCTCAGCAGGAGAAGGACATGTGAGGAATTCAGACCAGCTGGGACCCCAAGTCCAACCAGGAAAGAGCAAGCACAGCATGTAAGAGAAGGGGGACTCTGCAGTCAGACCTAGCTGGTATCACCTTCAATCCAAGTTGCTCTGCATCCTGGTCCAGAGACCTTTGAAACCAAGTCTGTTCATGCCTTGCCTGCACCCGTTCTTCATGTCTTACCCAGGAAAAGCATCAGCTGCTGCCTCCTCTATCCTGTCTGTTAGCCCAGCTAATAGACCGAAGGACCTAAGGACCAAAGGACTAAGACCCTATAGATCCCCAGAAGGCCCATGTGAGACTCAATATTCTTTTTACTCTCTATCCTTATTTCCAGGCCTCTCTGAGTTTTGCAGAAGTGAATCAGACATGGACCCCAAAAGGATTTCTGCCTCTATTGCACACATTGGGCTCCTCAGGCAACCAGAGCCTCAGGGGAGGGTCAGGCCTCCTGAGCCACCCTGAGGTCTCCAGGGGCTGGAGCCTGAATCCCTGGGAGTAGTGGAAGCAAGGCAGCCAGGGAAGCGGGGCTGGCCGGGACGCAGCTGGAAATCCTAGTTCTGTGTGAATTCCCACTCTGTGAAGCAATCATAGAACAGAGCATCCTTCTGAGTTTACAGCTCCCTGGGGTCCAGTCCTAGTTTTGGATGCTCCCATCCCAGCCCCCATTTCCCATCATTAACAAGAGCACTAGGGAAGGCCTCACACACAAACAAAGGCTACAAGACCACATTTCTGCCCGGCTCTCTTTCTCTCCATTCCATCAGAAGCTGGAATTAAAGGCCATCAAGAAACAAATCCTCCTAACAATAAACTCACTCTGTCCAGCTATGTTCAGAGCAGTGTTCTCTTGGTTGGCTGGGACATAGGAAAAGGAGTCAAAGGAACAGTTTGTAGCCAAATAAGAGAAGCTATTAGAGCAAATACCTGGGGCCTTAGGGGACCACTGACAGGCTGCCAGAGTAGAAGATCCTAAATCACATCTAAGCCCCTACTACACAGCAAAGCTGTGATTCCCTAAACCAGTCACATTGGCAAGTTCTGGACCCCAGATTCCTGAGTCCCCCAGACCTACAACCTGGGAATCTCTAGGGGATGGTCTTGGGAGTCTCTACAAATATTTCCATGACAAGAAGCTCATGACCCACAAGGAGTCTACCTATGACTGGCCAGCTCTGTCCTGGGCCATGGAGGATCTGCCTCTTAGAGTTGTCCCTCCAATCCTGCCCTCTGTAACAGCTTGCAGCAGGACAATTTCCTGCAGATAAAAAGAGGCAACATCTGAGTCTTTTCAGAGCCACCTTAGCTCTCCAGTCTCTTCTCCCCTACCCCTTCCTCAGGACACTTGTAGCCTATCTTCACTTCACCGTACAGCCCTCAACTCCAGAAGCAGTTTGACCAGTGCATTAGGTGATTTCTTGAACAACCATGTCAGGAAGCCAACTCAATGGGACATTATGAGCTCAGAGATGCTTGGCAAACTGGGGTGTGAAGAAGCTCTCATTAGCAGTACAAGCTTGATTTTAAATGGCTTTGGCCTCCCTGTGATCCTCCCTCCAATTCCCCTCCAGGGGTTCCTAGAAGCTCATAGGGACAGGTCAGTGTGAGCTCATAGATAGACCTTACATCTTCATGTTAGCAATTCTAGCTTCTCCCCCTAGCACCTGAGTCTGCCCCCAACTCTACTGCCTACAAAATAAGTGGCTATCCAGTGATCACAACATTTAACTTACAATCAGGCCTATGAAGGGCTGTTTCATAGTGAGGAAACTGAGGCACAGAGAAGTTAACTACCTTCCTGTAAGATCACACTGCTAAAAAGTATCAGGCCTGGGATTTGAACCCTGGCATTTGATAACACTCCTATTTGGTGGCCTGTTCTGAGCACTGCCATTTTTGCCTCTGAGTCCTTTATGAGGACTTTGGGGCTGTGGCCAGGGGACATTGTCCTGTGCTCCTCAAGCCACTTTCTGAGAGAAGTGCAGAAGTCTGTGTCCTCTGATTTCCAAAGCACTGCAGCTTGTGGTACTGGATCCTACTCACCTCCTCAGCCTACCATTCCCTCAGGTGTGCAAGCCCAGGGGCCAGGGAACAGAACTCCTGGCCACATACTCTGTTAAGACATTTGTGTCTTCCTAGTTCTCCCTCAGCCAGATGTCAAAACAGCACAACATGGCACATGTGGATTCCCAAAAACAGACTGCCTTGCTCTGGCCTGTCTTAGGCCACAGCCAGGAGGCAGCTCTGTGTCTCCCCAGAGACTCCCTCTCTCCCTCCCCTTCTTTTTTTGTGCTGGCTCTGGGGCATGAACTCAGGGCCTGGGCACTTTTTAAATTTTTATTGTTATTACAAAGGTAATATACAGAGGGACTAAAGTTACATAAGTCAAGTCATGGATACATTTCATTTTGGACCATGTTACCCCTTTCCTCACTCTCTCCCTGAACGTCTCTTGTTTAAAGCTAGTGTTCTACCACTTGGACCACAGCTTCACTTCCAGCTTTCTTTA